TTTTTTTTTTGACATTTTTATCGAATTTTATTGTTCTAGGTTAGTTTTCCTTTATTTTTAAGAAATAATCATCATAAGATTATGATTTCCATTGCTGCTTCTGTTCGGTGGAGCAGAGATAAGAAGGGCACCGACAAAGGAGATGAGGAAGAGAAGGAGGGCAGCGATGGAGGAGATGGTATGTTCTGCAACAGTGTGACTTTTGTTTTGCTTTGCTATTTCAGTCTAGTGAGGAAGGAGGAGGTGATCGGCAGTCAACAGAGGAGATGAGGAGGAGGTGGTCAGCAGAGGAGAGAAACCACTTTCCCGAAGACGATCTGTTCTGTTTTGAGCCGATCAGATGAGGTAGATGGTGAAGATCGGCGGAAGAGAAGAAGTGCAGTGACAGAGGAGAAGATCGACGAACGATCGGTGGAAGAGAAATCGACGGACGATCGACGAAGAGAAGATCGACGAAGTGGCGGACGATCGGTGGAAGACCCTTATGCAGTTCTGTTGGTACTTGGTTCCTCCTGAATCTGGATTTTGCAATTTGTTTCCAGTTTCCACTGTCCCGAGCTGCTGATGATTTTAGATTCTTAGGGTTTTTAGTTTTTAGTTTTTACTTAGTTAATTAGTTTAATTGATTTTAATTTAGGTTTTAAACTTTAATTTAAGTCAAAAGACAAAAACTTAAAATTAAAAAGATGGTGAAAAACTAAAAATTTCAGCCCGGGCGAGCATGGCGGGTCGCACGGGTTCAGCGAGCACGACGGGCTTGCCGGGTGTCAACGGGTTTCAACGGGCCATTCACCTAAACGGGCTGAAGCCTTCAACCGGCCCGTTTTCAGGCTCAAGTCCGGTTCAACCGGTTCAACCAACCGGGTCGGGCCGGGTCCAAAAACATTGATCAAAAGCTTTAAGTCTCTAACCACGAAACGAGCACTAAATAGGTTTGAGATTGTGGGCTTGCGAAAGCTTATTAAGACTGAAATTCAATGGGCCATGCTCATGAGAATTTTAAATGCGCCATTTCATGCCATTTTCTCTTTTTAATTCTTTTTTTTTTTTCAGATCCTTTCTCTTTTCTGTTTCGTTTTTTCTTTTTCCTTTTTTTTTTTCCTTTCATTCACCCTTTCTTCAATTCGTCACCTTAAAGCTTTCTTCACGTGAATAATCTCCTGTAACAAAAATTAAATATATTAGGACACATAAAAAATAATCATTAAATTTTTATTTATTTTATTTTATTTTTATATTAAAAAATAAATACTAAATCAAAAATTAAGTTATGATAATAGCATGTAAACATTGCGTACATAGAAACTTCCTAAAAATTTCTCTTTTATTTAATATTTTTACTTTTCAACTTTCTATGATATTATTTAATAAAGAGAATTTTTTCTCTTTCTTCTAACAATTTCTTTGAATGTGTATATATTTGTATATGTGACAACCGACCAAAAGAATCACATAACAATTTCCTTTGATTAGAAGTAAAAAACCCTTAATATAAATTGCATGGAATGCAAGGGGAACAACTTAAGAGAAAGGAGAAGAATGCTTTTCGTTAGGCAATTTAGGGCCTTTTTGGTATCGTTAAAACTTTTGATAGAAGTTATGTTAGAAAGAATTTATTATAAAAGTACTGTTTTTGAAAAGTTGAAAATGTTTAATAAAATTTTTTATAAAAATACTTGTAGAGTTAAAAGTTGTTTGATAAAATTTTTTATAAAAGATCTTTTAATGTTAAAATGACTGAAATTGACATTTTTATTTTAATCATTACTTTCACTCCATTTTTTTAATTTTTTATACAACTTTATTTTTATAATTAATTTAGGATTGGTGATTAAAAACTAATTATTCACATTTTAAAACATAAATGCTATATAAATGCTTATATTTTAATATTAAAAAATAAAATATACTACATTTAATCACTATTCTCACTCCAAATTTTTTTATATTTTTGTATGACTTTATTTTTATAATTAGTTTAAGGTTGATGATTAAAAATTAATTATTCATATTTTAAAACATAAATACTATATAAATGATTACATTTTAATATTAAAAAATAAAATATACTACATTTAATCACCACTCCCACTCCAAATTTTTTTATATTTTTATATGACTTTATTTTTATAATTAAGTTAAGGTTGATGATTAAAAATTAATTATTCATATTTTAAAACATAAATACTCTATAACTACTTATATTTTAATATTAAAAAATAAAATATACTACATTTAAATCACATAAATAAGACAACTAAAATTTAAATTTATGTGAAATAATCATCTTAATTGATTTTTCATTAAGGATAGAATTATGGAATCTTAAAGTGAAATCATGTCACGAACCTCCATTGTACTAACAAAATTATTTTGAGAAATTTCTTGATCCATGCTCTCTTCTACAGGCACTTCAAGCATATAATTTGGGTTCTGATTACACCTATCAAACAGAGCCACAGGATTCCAGAACATAAACATCAGAAAATAGAGCACTACTGCAATTGAAATAATTAGGCACTAAAAAATTCATGATTTACAAAATCAGGGGAACACCACAACAGTGTACCCTATTCTTTCCTATTACAAAATTGTACTCCAAGTTTTTTTAGATTCGATCTCCAACTTCTTTCTACGCTAATATATGAACATTAACCACACATGGAAATTAAGATAC